CCAAGACAACCTGCACTGATGAAGAAAGACGTACAAATCTTTTGGCCTGAAAGGGACCGATGCTGTTAAAGACCATGTCCAAAGACCGGGGGAGGAGTCCCCCTTCTCCAGGTGAGCCAGTCATAGTGAAGGTCTTACCGCTGCCAGTGACCCCATAAGTGAAGAGAAGTCCTGAGCACAAAAGTTAGGACAAATCAAGTTTGTTTGTGAATATTTTCTAGAGACTTTTAGAACTAAATGGGACAAAACATATGAACATGAATTTCTACAGCATATTTACTAGAATTGTTATTTCATGCCATAACACGGCTCTTTCATAAACTTACCATTCTTGGAGTGGATAAGGTCGTCTATCAGTGGCTTGGCAACCTCTTCAAACAACTCCATTTGTGTTGTTTTAATACCAAACACCTTTTTGAATGAGTACTGTGTCTGAAGCAAGAGGAGAGGAGCCAACATTAGCACATGTGAAGGTTTTTGTTTTAATTAAAAAAAAAAAAACAGGCTACGTTCAAAAAGCTTGTGCAGTCCATGCTGGCGGAAGTGAAATAGTGGCATCATTTCATTCGTCTTAGTGCAGTTTTGATAGAAACAAGAAGAATCTGATCATCTGTCAACTTTGGTCTGAGATTAACCAAACTTACTTCTTTGAATTCTCCATTGCGGTTGGCTTTGAGACCATCTGGGGGGTGGAGCTGGATGGTGGAGCTGCTGATCATCTCAACACAACATTCCTCATTTTCTGCTCCAAGTGGTCGTATACGGCAGTATACCTACACATACATTAGTTAATACCCAGTATTGTACAATGGTTTGCAATTTTCAATAATGCTGCACAGTAATTGATTCTTCTAAACCAGCAAACAAAATGTGAGCACACAGAAAGAAAGTTTTTTTGGAGCACTCGTATATCAAAGTTCATACATCAAAACAAGACACACTTTCATATTTAAAACGATTTCTTTTTGCACAAATATTCTGAAACGGGGTGTTTGGAAAGATTTTCAGAAGAAACAGAGAATCAGAACATCAAAGGATGTAAATGCAACATGTCTAATACAAATGCTCTGTCACTTAAATGCATGCATTTTCTTTCCAATTTAAAATCAGTTTTGTGAATACATTAAGTACTGCATACTGTACTTAAACTCTGTTTGAGTTTAAGTATTGTATTTTGTTGTGTACTTACTCCAACTGGGTCCTTGTCTGTGTTAGAGGCCTTCCTGGGGAAGTTCCTCCGAGGAGTTTTACCTTTGCTATAAATAATAAGACAAGACGTTACCAAGACGATTTATAAAATGTGATTTAAAACCAATGTAAATTCTTGGTGAGGTATTTTCTTATTTTGTTTGTTTCTACTTCACGGGATACCATTATAACAATTTCACTCTGTTTCACATGGAAAAATAAAATTATTAATTGGCTCAAGTTGAGGTTTTTATTACAACTTGTGTGCTTGACAATTAAAAAACACATTAGAGACATTGCTTTTCTTATGCACCTAATTGCTTTGGTAAGGTGGTGGATATTTTCTGGAACTGAGAATACCGGTAGTTTGAAGCGTATTCCGTGTCTTTCTACAACTAATCCTTCACGACTTGAAAATATAAGGAAGGCATTTTATGTACAGAATACAAAAACCCCGTTAAATTAAAGCAATGTTTCTCTCTTAAAGTGATGTTTTTTAGATTGTGTTTTAAAGTTATCGTACGGAGAAATCGAGTTAGCTAAAGGCTAGGCTAATGACACGGACGTTACCGCTCTCATTTTACCAGTTCGATTTCAAACAACGCAGTTAACAGGTTATGCTCAAAACGTGCTCATTTGGTGAACGAAAAAACTTTTTGTTATATTTTTGTTTCGTTCCGTGGTTTTGACATAAATCTTTAATAAAGCAGCGCTCACCCCGGTCTCTGCATTGTTGTTGAAATCCCACACAGTGCCTCTTATGAATTTGAAAAATTCGCTCTTCCCTCTTCAGAAACGTTAAACTGACAGTCACATATTTCAGCCAAGCACAGAACAGAAACAGCGGCCCTTGGCGGAAGTCCCGCCTTCTAATGGTTCCTCTTCCTCTCTCGTTTAAAAAAAAAAGGAAATGTTGTTGTAAATAGTCTAATAGTGCCATCTATACTTAGGCATAACATTTACTACTTTTCGTCTGGGGTTTTTTCACACAGTACAAAAACTGAAGAAAAGAAAAGAAATTGTTGCATTTTCTTTTTCTTCAGTAAAATTCTATTTATTTATTTATATATAATTATATATATTATATATATAATTTAACGAATTACAAATTACATTATTTGTTTTTGTGCTTGTGCTTTCAGGGTAGCCAGACAATAAAAGGCGTAACGTTTAAATTTGTTTAAACGTTACATCCAAGAACAAATAAATCAAAAAATAAGACGGAGTCGAATTTTTTTTTCAAAGAATATGTTGATATGAATCACTGCGCATTAAATTAAATAATATAATTGTATTTTATTTTGGAGGATAGTTCAAATTTAAGTTTGTAGTATAAGGGAACGTGCTTTATGCGCGTACAATAGCTTCATCCTGGAAACAGTGGCAATAGCACAACAAACCCACCAGAGACTGCTGTCGGGTGCCTTACAGAGGTGCATAATTTGGATAAGAGCATAGTAAATATTCTGTCACATCTTACCTCACGGTGAAAAAATAGGAGAATTTAGAGATGGTAAATCTCGACTTTTGTTGTTTGGTAGTGGATTTCATGAATGTATTAGGTCCTAAATTTTTCTTTAAATTTTAAATTTTAAAGTTCTGTAAATTTCGACCGTTTGTTGCAAAACTCGTTATATTTTAAAACCTTAATCCTTCATTCATTGGACACATTCTTACATATCATAAACATTTATTTTGGTGAGGCTGTTACATGGTTAAACGTTTTTTGTGTACTGCAGTTATATATTAATACTACTACAAAAACTGGAGATGCCATGACCCCACCACCCCCCGCCCCCCACTTCCAGAGGTTTGCTTGGACGTTGCTGCACAACCAGGAACCCACACATTACAGAAGGAATGTGATAGGGGAAGTCATCGTGACATGTGCTGTGAGGGCCATGAACAGGCTGATCCTCTGAACAATGACGCCTTTTCAGCTGACACTATCCTCAAGTAAGATATCTGTGAACCTCTGACCCCCAACCCGACATAGAAGGGTCTTTCTTAAAGAACCCACCAAGGACACACTAAAACCTCTATTGGATATTTAAGATTAAGGTATTTAAAACAGAAATAAACCCATACTTGTGTATACAGACACATATATTTTAGATATATATAGTATTTAATATTAATATTACTAATATATACGTGTGTTTATATTTACACATATGTACACATGCAGACACACATATATATAAAGAATATTTATGTTAGGTTTTTGAAATCACAAGCATGATGCAAACAAATGTTTATTTGTGTAAATGCATATCAAACATTTAAAACAGTATTTTTTGTTATACTTACAGTATAAAAGTTATGGGGATATGTATGTACACACAGGAAAGGTTGCAGATAAATAGACGACAAAGCTTAAAAATATGAATATTGTGCAGTCTCTCTCTGTGTTGTGTGGTAAAGAAGAAAAAAAAGCAAAACGATGTGAAACTCATTCTTACAAACCTGAGTATTGCATTAAAGCAAGATAGCTTCAAGTATTTAACTTGTTACCACTACAGGAAAGGTGCATGTGAAATGCAGCTACAATAGACAGGACGTGGTTTGGCAATGATTCTAAGATGGGGAGGAGAAACCATTGTGTCTGGACTCACTGGAAAACAACAAAGATCTGTAAGTTCTTATTCATCTAAACAAGAGCTATTGCAGGCAGGAGAAAACTATTATGCATATATTTCATACAGGTTTATACAGTGTGTTCTGTTGCAATACAAAAATTTTATGGACAACAACTTCAGAACATGACTATACAAAAACAGCTTCATGTCCAACACGTTCTCTCACAGGAGCTTTGGCAGCTAACAAATCTGCCCTCGTTATAATATCAAACATTTACAATATTCCAGTTTTCATGTCTGGCTGTGGTTCAGAGAGAAAAAAAAACAAGATCAAATCCTAACATGATGATGTAGATTCTTCAGAAAACATAGCTTAAAATGAACAGAAGCAGGCCAAAAATGCTCACCTCTATTTAAAACTAACATGTATACATGGAGATCTAATGAAACATGAAAGATGTTTCCAGCCTCAGTTTTTTTATTTTCAGGTCTTCATTAGTTGAACATGATGGAAATGCTATTTAGTGGAGTAAAAACCAAAAGTCGAGACGCAGAAGGTCAGGGAAAAAAGTTTTTCTTTTAAGTAATGCGCATAAATTGAAGTTTTGATTTAGACCAAAATTAAAAAAAAAAAAACCCCAGATATTTTGGACATGCCAGTTTGGCTAACTTATATCATAACAAGCAAAAGAGACAAAAAGAGAAGGAGGAAAGCTGCATCTCAGCAAAGAAACATGTACAAGATACAGTCAAAAGGTCCCAAGACATACGTTAAACTAGTCAGGTCAGAGACAAACTCTCTCAGCGACCTCAAAAGCAAGTTAAATGATTACGTCTTTGTTATGCATGGAGCTGCGTTACATTTTATTTGATCAGGTTTGAAATTTTTAGTTAAACCAAACCTAAATAAAAAGCTGTTAAAATTTTGAAACTTTGCAATAACCTTTAATTATGATCAATATCTATGCCTTTTCTTCATTTTAATTGAATAATTGTGTTTTTTCTTAAATTTGTGTTATTAAATAAAGATTTTCTTTTTCAAATTGTCTCAGATCTTTTTGACTCACACTTGAACGTCTATTTCTCAAAAACTCATCACTTCTACTGTCGTGGGACGATGTAGTTGAGCCCAAAAAACAGCACTATGTAACTGTAACTACATTTCAGAGAAAAAGAAGGTCACATGACAGTACATGTCTTTTGGACACCAATTGAATAGAAAGGGAAAAGAGATAGAGAAGAACAGAGAGAGAGAGAGATGATAGCGATGTAAAGCCTTTCGTTTCTGAAGCTGTGAAGACCCAGTGATTGTGGTGATGACATCATGACAGGTCAACAAACACAGAAGAATGGCGGCAGTTTGTCAGTTTGTCAACTTCTTTAATTGGGTCCAACCCTAGAACATTCCTGAATCTATAACAGAGACTGAGGAGCATTAATGGATGGATGATTGACAGCTGCCAATCACAGCCAGTGTCCCCCTCATACTGTATGTATCGAGCGTTCTTACATGATTTTACATTCACACAGAGTCACTCTTCAAACCAGCGTAGAACTTCTGCTCCACCATCAGACACCGCGTCCATTCACTACCGATGAGCAGGAGTTCATCAGACATGAACTCTACCAGTAATAACAACCAAAAAAAACAAAAACAGAAGAAACTTTTCAGGACCAATTAACAGATTAAAATCACTCTTCAACCATCTGAGGTCATTTTTATACCATTTAAATAAAAGTTTTTGCCCCTGCAGCCGGGGCTGAGGCAAAAACGACTGTCAGTTACAAGTTGAGAGAAAGAACCAACGGTACGACAGAGTGACCTTCCCCAGTTCCCCAGGCGTTTTTCTCTCACATAACTGAGTGTACGTCTGTGGTTGGTCACGATGCTGTCGAACCCGACAGTGTGTAAGAGTCTCAGTCATTTAAAAACATCAGAGAATGAAGCAGTGAGACGATAACAAACGGTACCTTCTGTGTCACAACATCATGAAGGAGATAAAGCAGAAATACATAAAGTATTGATTTAGGGCCTACACTTATAATAATAATAATAATATTAAGAAAAACAAATGTTATGATTGTGCTTTGACAATGTATAATACTTAGTATTATCTACCCATTGTAACGTGAACATTAACCAGGGTTTCTTTAAAGTAAAAGACCAAAAAAGAAAAAAAATATTTTTTACTGTTCTTTCTATTTCTTTCTTTCTTTCTTTCTTTCGACAACAACCTTTCCTCCAGTAAATATCAACAAAATCCTCACTCAACGGTTTTAATGCTACTTACCAACAAGTACATATGTGTATTTGTTTTCAAAGGTCTGAGGTTTGTGTGTTGTTCTGACGACGCGTCCACGTTAACAACAATACATTTCTGAATCGCGTGTTTTCATTTCAGGGCCTAAAAGGTCGTGGACTCCACCTTCATGTGAGTCAGTTGCTCTACAGGTGGGTTACGTGAGACCTCGGGCTGAGTGTGGGCTGCGGTGGGTTTACTCCCCACTACGTCTCTGTACATTGACGCGTGTCCTGTGTCCACGTCAAAGTCGCCCTCTACTGTTTGGTCTGTTTCAGCTTCTCAATGTGGTGACACAGTTTAAGCGCTGGGCCCAGCTTCAGTCCCATGTACTTCATAATAACGTCGCTGCGCAGCAACATCAGAGCCTTTCCATCGATTTCCTACAAAAAGAGTGACGTGAGATTAAATGATCTGCACTTACACAGCAAATAAGGAAAGCAGCTATGACTCATAATTTCTGTCCAAGACTTTGATAACACCTTCTCTGAGGGTGCACTCACACCATGACTTAGAACACACGTGTCAAACTCAGGCCCAGGGGCCAAATCTGGCACGCAAATCTGGCAGTGTAATTTTATTTGGTCCGCGAGATCATATCAAATGTGACTAGAGTTGGCCCGTCAGTATATAGCCCCTTACCAAGACAACGTCAACACAGACAAGACTCAAACCCTTACGTGTTTCCTGAAGAGTTCGACGTGTGGGCCCAGAGTGTGTGGATCAGCCTCTTGGACGAACCGTATGACATCATCAACGGACCAGGAGGCGGCGTTGTTCACTGCTCCTTCCTTGTCCTGTTTCACGTGGTCCGGTCCTGTTGTTGAGCTAGCCGCTGCGGTCGGGATACACAACAACGAAAATTAGCCCGATGACTTCATCACATCAACTGACTTTGTTTGTGGTCATCGAAGCCTACCCTCCACTCGACGCTGCGGGTTGAGTTCAGCCGGGTTAGAGCTGACGCGTCGTACAGGCGGGGGCGTGTGGGTGTGAACGGGGTAGAAGGAGCGCTCCTTCTTTGCTGCTCTGTAGTCTGATGTGCTGTGAATGGAGCGGGCGCTGTGAGCAGGATCCTTGGCAGAATCATCTTTGGGCAGGCCGTTCTCAGTGTGGGGGGGTACTACTGTTTCCACAAACACAGAGAGGGAGTTGAGGATGAATGACAAGGATGAAGAAAGTCTACTGAACACTAACCTTCCTTTTGGGCTGCGGAGACACTGACTTTTTTTAACGTTTTTTTCTAGTTGCTTTAATAGCTACGACCACTCGACATTTTCTCTTTTTCGTTCTGACACATTTGGAGCCCAGTCACGGTCCTGATTGGACAGTGGCAGACCAGTCTAAAGCCTCTCCAACCACTCGGCGGCATCTGGTTTATCAACAATTTTTCATTCTGACACATTTGGAACACACCTGATTGGACAGTGGCAGACCAGTATAAAGCCTCTCCAACCACTCGGCGACGTCTGGTTTATCAACAAACACTGTCATCGTAGCACATTATCGTAGCACATACGTGCAAACTCAGGGGCTAATTTTGCTAAAGTTGCCTTCATTTTGAATAAATGTAAATCATGCTTATATAATGAGCATAACTTAACAGCAAAGTAACTATTTCCAAAATGAAGTAAAAAGTATATTCAATATAATAATAATAATATTTGGATAGCTTTGTTTTGTGAATTCATCTTTAAAGCAGAGTCATGTCTCTTCAGGGTTGATGTCACTGTGAAAAGAAGGAAGGAAATTCAACAACTCAAACCTGATTTAGTTTTGTTATAAAGGCGCGAGCTACTGTTGTTGTTGTTGCTGAAAGGGCTGAACGGCTGTGAGCTGAAGAGACTGTCGCTCTCCAGGTGTTGGCACATGTTCTCCAAGAACCGCAGAACTGCAGAGGCACTGGAGGCCGAGGGCAGCTTCACGTAACGGATGCCGTGCTCTGACCGAACTGGAACACAAAACAACAACAACCATCACTGTGTACACACACACACACACAGACACACAGACAGACACAGACAGACAGACAGACAGACAGCCTAAGCAGTCAAACAAAAGGACAACAGCAGATGGTTTAGATCTCGCAGCACTCTGCTGTTATAAGTGTATCCCACACAGCATCACACCCTCCTACCCCAAGCCAAGCCGGCACAAATCCACAAATTAACCCCCTGGCCCCTCCCGACACTACCCCAACCCGAGAGTCTTCCCAATTGACGAAATCCCTCGAACCCACCCCCCACTGCCACCTCCACCACCACCCTCTACCCAAGGGAGACACAATCCCTGAATCCCAAACCAGGTTAGATGCACATGTCACTTCTGATTACAGACACACAGCTCACATCAGCTGCTGCTCCAAACACTGTCTTTATTTCACTGCTCATTCTCCAGACACACACACTGACTTACCTCTGTAACTTTCTTACCCTGGATTATTTGGACTAAGAAAACAACCCAACACAATATTTACCCATTAACTATCACTGAATTAAACAGTTTTTTTTCTTATTATTATTATTATTCTCGGTTTAAAATTTTTTTCTTTACAAATAAGAGGAAATGCAGAGTGCAGAGTCATATTCTGTCAGTCAGTTCTGTCAGAGGAGTTGATGTCTGTAAACTAATTCATCAGTCTACACTCCCTTATAATCCATTTGTCAGTGAGTCAGTGGTAGACTGGCTGGGTGTCTGACCCCACACTGCAGCCTCCAAAAATCATTGCTGGGCATTTAAACATAAAGCACTTCACTGAAGCAAAAACCTTTTCCCAGTCTGTGTAAATAACATGTCTATTGACTTTGTATTAGCAGACGATACGTAGACAGATCACAGACATCACAGTTCATGTCATTCTCACTAGCAAATTTCACAAATAAATTTACACAATCATCTCATTTAATTTGATGGCCTTGTCAAGAAAACCAAGGAGACACTCAATGTAAATTAGTGAAAACTTTTTTTTTATACTGATACTGCAACTTGGAGTAACTGCCAATACGATATCAAATCGATTCCTTCTTTGTCATTGCTGAGACGACACTGTCTCTCTTTACGACATGGCGCTTATTTTTGTTTTTATACGTTTGGTCCTAAAATTATGATCAATAATTTACAAATAATAATGAGAAAATAACTGAGAACCATTGATTTAGGCTGACACAATATCACCTTTTTTCCTAATGTGAGGTCTATGACACTTACCTCTGATGACCTCGCCATCTGTGTGTGATTGGCTCAGTAGGAATGACAGCAGCACTGACGGCTGGTAGGTGCAGTCCACACAGGCCTGGACCGCTTGTTGAAGCACAGAATTAACTGGAGCTGGACCAAAGTGATCTGGGAGCTGCTGCACCAGTTTTCGATCCAGATTCGGACCATAGTCACCGTGTTTGTTCACATAGACACAAACTAAGAAAAAAAATCCTTATCAATTACTACTGCAGTTTTATATCTAGTATACTTCAGTGTGGCTCTGGGCATTCAGTTTACCTGTGCAAACTACATTTGAGCTGTTGTTATGGTTGTTGTCAATTGAGACATGACTAGAGCCGAGTCTCGTCTCTGCAGATGGGGTTGTAACAGATGTTGACCCCAAGGACGGCACCACCCGAGGCTTCTTCTGGTGATAAAAACAAACAAACCCCCTCACATTTATCCTGGTGAGTTAATGATTAAGTGTGAGCTAAACTTTTACTAGTCCCACCTAAGGAAGGAAGGAAGGAAGGAAGGAAGCACATTCAGCTACACATGAGGATAAGGTTCTCTCCGTGTAAAACTACAAACAGCTCATGTGTGGTGAAGACATAAAAAGGCAGAGTAACTGATCACACCTCTGGTGACCTCTCACCTTAGGCTTGGGCCCTCTCTTCTTGTATAGTTTGGGGGCCAGTTGAGTCTCAGCACTTGTCCTGGCAGGACTCTGGGAGGCGCCATTCACAGCTGCGGCGGCCAGCGCACGCTTTGCGGCCGGCCCCTTAACAAACAGAC